AAATATTCACTCTGTAAAACATATGTATTATTTCAACAAGCTCCCAAGGAGTGGGGACCAAAAATAGTTCAGCTCTCTGCAAGGACCCCAGCTCTCTGCAAGGTCCCAGCAAAATCTTATTTTCCTCCCTCTGCCTCAGAGCAGTGGGCTTTCCTTCCTTGGAGGGGAAGTGAGGGGACTTCTTCGCAGGTGCATCCCTTCCTGCCTCCAGCATCAGCCAAGTAGGCCAAATGGAATCCCAATAAGAGCAATACTTCGTAAGGGAATAAATAAAACTTGCTGAATACCAGCACGAACCAATGGACCTGCTGTAAAATGTATTTCAATTCTGTATCATTCAGCTTCTTAAAGTCACCCAGATATTACCTTGATAAAAATCTACAAGCTTTTGGTTTACGGTTCATGTCAGCTGCCCTCAGCACCTCGCAGCTGCTAAAAGAAGGAGGTCCACAGCAGGTCGACCTGCTAACTCTCGGAGCCCTCCCGTACTTCAGCTTCCCACCCGGATGGTGGTTCCCTGTTCCGTGTCTATCCCCTTGCTTAGTCAGCAGCACGGTTGATGGCAGAGTCTGTGTTTTTTCCATGTTTGTGTTCCCCACATGGTATAACCCCTCCTGGCACAAAGCTCAACCAGTGTTCATGTAATACATGAAGGAGCAGATGGAGCAGAGCCTCAGTGTCCCCATCTGTAACGTGGGAGCGTTGCACATCTGCCTTTTTAACAGCCTGTGTGATGGAGCAGTTCCTCCCAGTCTCCTTGCTTCGGGGAGGTGAGAAGTGGGTTTTCCTTTCTCTTGTGCCGCCCACGTGTGTCTGTTCTCCTCCTGATGAGTCATCTGAGAGCCAGACACCATCGCTCTCAGACAGAACATGTCAGGTACTTGCTCAGGAGCAGCGGGGTCATAAATCTGTGCCGCGTCCCCGTGGTTACCTAGGGAACCCTGGGGCACAGCCAGGAAGAGGGGCGCTGCAGACAGAGAGGGCTCTGGCCTGTGTCCCAGCCTCTTGGCGACAGTCCAAAAAGCGCTTCCCACTCTCTGGTTTGGAACCAGTGTCCTGTCCCCAGTAGAGGGCAAAGGTGGCCCCCAGCCAAGAGACTCTGAAATGCACCAAGATCCGCCTCCCAAACATTCAGAGGACAGAAGGGATCGGTTAGCAAAATGACTGTGACACGAACCAGCACAGTTGGAATCTGGTCCTGCAGTACATTCCTTTACTGTTGCACAAGCAGCCACACGCAGATCCCCCTTCCACTCTCTGTGGCTGTGAAGATTAAGTGAAACAACATATTAAACTGCTTGGCATGAGTCTTGATCACAGCAAACAATTAATAGAGGCAGCTGTAAATCGAATTATTACTGGTACTGATAGTAGTAATTTATTCTCCTCCTACTACATTATACTCACTATATCCTCCCAAGTATTATCCCATTTTACAGATGAGGAAATTGGGCCCAGAGAGATTAAGTGACTTGCTCAAGGTCCCTCTACTAGGAATCGAATACACTGGTAACAGTCAGCTAGCTGCTCTAATGCACAGGGATTGTTCTGGGGAGTCCTGTGCGAGTGCGTGGGAAGGACGGACAATATCACTCAGTTGCACTTAGCTCCACACCCAGACAGATGCCCTCACTGTGGTTGCATGATGGCTGGAACACAGCCAGACCTTGCTCCAAACCGTACATAGTCTCATCTTCCAATCCCATAACAAAAGAATCCCTGGACTCTCATTGGCTTTGACTGGGCCTGAGTGTCCACCCCTACAGCCTAGGTCTGAGGGGTGGGGAACTCAGAGAACAGCTGTGGATATAAACGGGTGTAGAATGGAGGCCAGGGGCCCAAGCAAGATGCGTGTGTGTATACAAAGCCTAAAAAACATTTGCCAGAGTGTTTACAGGGATGCCCTCTCTGGATGGTGGAATAAAAAGTTGATTTCCTTTTCGTTTTCTGTACCTTTCTATAGCTTTGCCGTAAGTACAGTATACTTTGATAATTTTTTAAAAGCAATTTTTATTTGTTTACTGGTTTAATAATGCAAGTAATATGTAGATATTTTAAGTATATTTATTTTTAAGAGTTTGGGGCTGGATGTTAGAGGCCTCCGTCCTGGCTCTGGCTCTGAGTGACTGCGGTCATGTCACTTGTCTGGTCTCCGTTCCGTCATCTGTGAGATGAGGGGAGGGCTGCACAACTCTACATGTCTGATTCTCTCTCCTTCTGCATGCACACAGCTAGTAAAAACGTGTGGATCAGCTGGGTCCCAGGAGACCTGCCTGAATACAGTTGACCCTTGGAGCGACAAGAGTTTGAACTGTGTGGGTCCACTTGTACACATATTTGTTTCAATAAATATGTACTTTGTACAGAACTACATAACCTCTGCTTAGTTGAATAGAAACCATGGATACAGAGGGCCAGGGCTGACTGTAAACCTCCCTTGCCACTCGTAAAGCCCTCCTCCGCCCTCTCACCTCTGCCCCCATTGTTCAAGGGCCAACTGTAATTTTTTTCTTAATAGAAATCAGTTCTGAACAAAAGTGGGTACATTTATGGAGTTGAAAAATGTCTCTACAAATTGAGTATGCGCCCAGAGCCGCAAAGAGAGAACCCCTCTTCAGTGGAGACCAGCTAACCTACTCCAGCCCTGAAAACTCTCTCCCACTCAGAATATGAAAACGAATATATGTATCTATATGCGTGACTGGGACATTGTGATGTACACCAGAAATTGTAACTGACTACACTTCAACTGGAAGAAAAAAAAAAGAAGAAAAGGAAAATCTCTCCCTCCCTTAGAGGTAAGAAGAATCAACATTCCTGACGGGGCTACTATGCGCCAAGCCCAGTACAAAGTGTATTATACACACAGTCCAATTTACACTCATAATGCAGTTGCCATTGTTTGTTTGACAAGCAGCTAGATCCCGGAGTCTCCCACGTCATTATTGAATGCACGTCCATGACTCACCTTCCCATAAAGATTCCTGAAGGGAAGAAATGCTCTTTATTCATCTCTGTATGTCTCTCAGACCCTAACAGAGGGCTCAGTAAATATTTACTGATCATTGGAACCCTGGTCTTATCATCAGCGTTTCTTGGGCTCCATAGAAGACGATCCCTAATATCAAAGGTTTGACTGGCTCCTGGGAGCACACACTTTTGGCTAAGAAAGTGACGATCAAATTAAAGGGGAGAAGGAGCAACATATTGGGTCATTATCCACTGTTGGCAGGAAGCCATCACTTTAAAGAGTTGTCCTGATACAAGGCCTTCAGGAAGTGGAACACTGGACAGGTAGACTTAAACCAAGAACCAAGGGTTGGAAAGGTCACGATCACTGTGGCCAGAGGCAATGTGAAAGCACTGGGAGCTTTATTCTTATTGAAATACAGCTGCTGTAGAATATTATGTTAGTTTCAGGTGTGCTACATAATGACTTGACATTTGCATCCATTATAAAATGATCACCATAATAAGGCTGGTAACCATCTGTCCCCAAACAAAAGTTATTACAGTATTATTGACCGTATTCCTTATGCTGTATATTACATCCTTGTGACTTAATTGTTTTATAACTGGAGATTTGTACCTCTTAATTCCTTCACCTATTTTGTCTACCCCACCAGCCCTCCCCCATCTGTTTGTCCTCTGTACCTTTGAGTCCAGTTTCCTTTTCTTTTGTATGTGTTTTGCTTTTTAGATCTCACGTATAAATGAGATCATGCAGCATTTGTTTTTCTCTGACTTATTTCACTTAGCATAATACCCTCTAGATCCATCCATGTTGTTACAAATAGCAAGGTTTTATTTTTTATACCTGAGTGATATTCCAGTATGTGCGTGGTGTGTATGTGTGTGTGGGGCGTGTGTGTGTGTGTGTGTGTATACATATATCACATATTTATCCATTCATCTGTCTGTGGACACTTATGTTGCTTCCATGTCTTGGCTATTGTAAATAATGATGCAATGAACATTGGAGTGCATATAACTTTTCTAGTTAGTGTTTTTGTTTTCTTCGGGTAAATACCCAGAAGTCCAACTGCTGGATCATATGGTAGTTCTATTTTTAATTTTTCAGGAATCTCCATACTGTTTTCCCTAGTGGATACACCAATTTACATTTCCACCAAGAGTGCAAGAGGGTTCCCTTTTCACTACATCCTTGCCAACACTTGTTATTTGTTGTCTTTTTGATGGGAAACAAAAACGAAAATAAACAAATGGGACTATATCAAGCTAAAAAGCTTTTTGCACAGCAAAGAAAGCTATCAGTAAAACAAAAAGGCAGTCTACTGAATGGGAGAAGATAATTGCAAATGATCTATCCAAAAAGAGATTAATATCTAAAATATACAAAGAATTCATACAACTCAACATAAAAAGAACAAACAACCCAATTAAAAAATGGGCAGAGGACCTGAATAGATATTTTTCCAAAGAAGGCATACAAATGGCCAACAGACATGAAAAGATGCTCAACATCGCTAATCATTAGGGAAATACAAATCAAAACCACAGTGAGATATCAGCTCACACCTGTCAGAGAGCATTGGGATCTTGGGCAGGGATTAAGGTTGAAAGGAAGGGAGGGCTGCATAGAGGAGAATGGATTTCCAGCAGCAAATTCACTGGGAAAATAGAAAGATTAAAGAAATAGAGAGGCAATCAAAGAAAGCAACTTCCATCTACACAATTTTGCCTACAAGAAGCTCTGGTTTTAAGGTTAGGGTTAGGTAACATGGGGGGTGATGGACTAAAATGATGTTTCTCAAAATGCAGTCTGCTGGTTTTCTGCAATAGACTCACTTGTGAAAAACATAAATTCATGGATCTCACTTCAGACCTACTGGATCAAAATATCTGGGGCTAGGACCCAAGTATCTGCATTTTAAGGCTCACTGTAGGTGCCTCTTACCCTCAGTAAGTTTGAGCATCACTGGCCTCATAGGCAAACCTTTGCCGGCTAAAAAGTTCCATATTTCTTTCTAAATTCCTAGGTTCCCAGTGGAGCCGCACCAAGAAGAGGAAGAGTGGGCAGTCCTCCGGAATGAGCGAAGGAGCATTCTAAAGTGTTCAGGTGACAAGAAAGTTCTGAACGTTTGTGCCTGGAGCAGGTCCAGCTGTTTTAGGGACAAGTTCCCCAGCTTGACTTGAGAGAAAACAGCTCCAGACTGAAATTTTTTTTTTCTTTTCACTTTCCACTCCACCCCCGGGATTTAACTGAAAATATGTGCTCACTGAAGACTGCTCCCACCCTTTTCGTGCCTTTTTTTCTTTCCCTTCTCATGGGTCTGGTCCCCTCTGCAGTACTGGGGGCCAGCAGAGGTTCACATGGGTCCCCCTTCCTTCCCTGCCTTTCTGGGGCCTCTGATGTGATGGTTTATAGTCTGTGAAGCTCTTTGGTCTGATAGACAGGGAAAGTTCCTGTTGCCACTAAGTGTACCAGTGGCCAAGAATTACAGGCCGCGAGTCAGCCGCCCTGCCTGCTGGACCAAGCTGTTTCCCCCGCACAGCAAGCTCACAGGGCCTGCTGCCCACACACTCACTCCCCAAGCCCAGCGACACCCGCACTGGCTGGGTCTCTGACTTCGCTTTGAGTTCTCTGCGTGAAGAAGTATTTCCAGCATGTCCTGGGCCCTCTAGATACAGTAGAGCCAGTCTCACAAGTGGCTTCTCAAAGGCCAGATACATTATTTCTGCTTTATATGCACTACCTCATTTAAACCCAAGAATTCTATCAGGTAGGCAGAAATAACGTGGGGTGTTGCCTAGCACACAGTTAGCCCACAGGAAGTTCTCAACAAGTGCTAGTGTTCTTCATATTATTTTCCCAGTCACTTTTTGTTCTGGGCTATTTATAGCAGGAGAAAAAAAAAGAAATCAGTTACATCAACTGGCAAGTAAAGGGTTGAAAGTGTTACTGAGAGATCAGCTAGGAAAATCTGTACCTAAATACTCCAGATACTGAGAAATCTGACGTAACTTTTTAAGGTTATACAAAACATTAATAATAACTAATATTTTCCCCCATTGTATATATATATTTTATTGAAGTATAGTCAGTTTACAATTTGTAAATTTGTTGTGTCAATTTCTGGTGTACGGCACAATGCTTCAGTCATACATGAACATACATATATTTGTGTTCATATTCTTTTTCCCCATAAGTTACTGCAAGATATTGAATATAGTTCCCTGTACTATACAGTATGAACTTGTTGTTTATCTATTTTATATATAGTAGTTAGCATCTGCAAATCTCCAGCTCCAGTTTATCCCTTCCTCCCAGCCCCCCACCCCAGTAACCATAAATTTGTTTGAGTTTGTTTCTGTTTTATAAATTAGTTCGTTTGTCATTTTATTTTTTTAGATTCCACATATGAGTGATCTCATATGGTATTTTTCTTTCTCTTTGTGGCTTACTTCGCTTAGAATGGCATTCTCCAGGTCCATCCATGTTGCTACAGATGGCATTATTTTATTGTTTTTTATGGCTGAGTAGTATTCCGTTGTGCAAATATACCGCAACTTCTTTATCCAGTCGTCTGTTGATGGGCGTCTGGGTGTTTTCCACGTCTTGGCTATTGTAAATAGTACTGCTATGAACATTAGGGTGCATGTATCTTTTCAAATTAGAGTTTCCTCCAGATCAATAACCTCTGCAGTCCTTAAAGACAATCATTGGATCAGGTTTTCTACCCTTCTTCTTGGAAGAATTAAGGCTCAAGCCTGATACAAGCCCTTGACCTCACTTGAGGTTCCCAGAGAGGGGTTAGGAGGAGAGATGTAATCCTCATCATATCCAACACCAGAGAAGGGCCTGGGTTTGCACTGCATGGTAGCACACAGGCCAGAACAACTTCTGCCATTCCAGATCCATGTCTCTGGCCTGCTGAGATGCCCAGAAATTCCTGTCATTGTGCTTATCAGTGAGATCAACCTGCAGCCAAGCTTGGGTTATCTGGGAGGTGAAAAGTATCAATTTTGAGTCAAACTACCTCTGCTCTAATCCCATCTCTGAATAATTTTGAGCAAGTTAATTAATCTCTCCTATCCTCAGTTTCCTCACCCGTAAATGGGAGCCAACAGGGCCTTCCACAAAAGTGTTGTTTGGAGGATTAAATGAGACACCTGTGAATTAGCATGGCACATGCTTGGTGCATAACTGCACTCATAGTGAATTAAAATTGGGCTATCAGAAGAGAGCAGTGCTTACCTCTAAACGGACGGCTCTCTGAAAGACTGGGGAAATCTTTGGAAGCCCTTCCAAAAACTTGCAATTCACACCATGCAGCTACCTGCCAATATTCCAGGCGCTCCTATCTAGAAGTTCCCACAAAATCCTCCACACACCCTGCCCCTGAGCACTTACCAGGGCCGTCCCACAAGAGGCAGAAAACCAAGGCTCCTCCTCCTTCTCCCTTCAACGTTCCACGGCTCCCAAGGCAAACTTCCAAATTTGCCAGTTTGGCATCCAGTAAACAGTGGAGAAAGGCTGAGCATTTCCTGTCCCAGCATTCCTCAGTACACAATAGAGACGGGCAAGGGAAACCACCTCTTTCTCACACTGCCGCCTCCTTCGCCATGCCCACGGGGTCCGAAGTGATGTCACACCCATTTCCCAGCACGCCCACCCCCATCCCAGGGTCCTACCCGGTCACCTCTGCCAGAGAAGACAGAAATCACTCTATGACATCACTTCCTTGCCTTGCTCCCCAGGGACCTGGTCTGTCCTCTCCAAAGCCAGACTCTACCGCTTTGTCCAGATATAATTTTTACATGCCCCCAAGGAAAAAGGTTCCCATCCCTTCCTTTAGACCTTTGTGAACTTGGTGGTCACCACAAGAGAAAATCGCCCAAAAGGGGTTGCACGGTTTGATTCAAAGAGCACAAAAGAGGAAGAAGAGGAAGGATGGAGAAATTTGAGACCCTTGTTGTCTATTTGTGTGTCTCCTCATTTAACTCACATCGCTGTTCAACAGCAGGCACGATTCTCAGTATCCTCAGATGCGCATTCCCGTTATTCGTCTTAGACTGTGAACTTCAGGAGGACGAGAGAGGCCGGCGTCCATTCACTTTACTCAGTGCGGCTTCTGCCCCCTGATGAATGGGGAAACACTGGATTAGTTCTGTTGCCCAAGAGTGAAAGAAGTTACACCGAGATAGAGTTAGCAGCAGAGAGGCTCAGCAAATGAAAATAAGAAGTAACAGGCTGAAGATCAATTGATCAAGGGGCCCTGCCAGGAACTTGGCACTGAGGAAGCCCCTATAAGGAATTCAGGAAAAGCCTGCAGTACAGCGACGTGTCCACAGCTTTCAGTGGATTCTCAATAAGGTCTAGGATCCAAACAGTTAAAGAACCACTGGGAGGGGATAGCCCTTTCCCTTATGAAATCTGGAGATGGGGGAGGGTAAGATTAATACACATAAAATTACAGAGGACATCAGTATAATAGTGCTGCCTTTGGCTGAGTGTTTTTTATGAGCCAGGTCTCAGCCTAAGCATTTCAGACTATGACTCCTTTCATTTTTGCAACCATCTATGTTGCTGTGTGTTATCTCAGGAAATAGAAAGCTTGTATGCCCTGGTCTCGAATGAAAAAATGGAGACTGAAAGAGTTTATGAACGTTGCCCAAGGTCACACGTCTGGTTATCCAAAGCTGGGATTCAGACTCAGAGCCAGGGCCAGGCTAAAGAAATGAATGACAGCAGTGGCAAAAAAGAGCCATGGGAGTGGAGTCAAATCTCCAGGACCCTGGCTCTGCCTTAAGTAGATCCCTTCCCTCTCTCTGGGCCTTGGGATTCCCGCATGTGAAATGAGAGGGTTAGACTAGATCAAGGGTCAACAACCCTTTTCTATAAAGGATCAGAGAGCAAATATTTTAGATTTTGCAGGACAGACCGTCTCTGTTGCCGCTGTACAACTCTGCCATCGTACCGTGAAAGCCCCCAGAGACAATACCCAAGCGAATGGGTGAGGCTGCGTTCCAATAAAACTTTATTTACAAAAACAGGCACAAGTCTGGATTTGTTCCACGGGAACATGGTTGGCTGACCCTGGACTAGATGATCTGTAGGGTTCTTCTGACTGACATCTCAGGAGTCTGTGATCCTGATTGGAGCCCGCAGGGGCCAATGCTTTGAAAAATCAGCTGTACGGAGCCTGAAGCCATAAGTATTGTTTTGTAACATTTTTCTTTAACCCTTGATGGGTTCAACAAATGTGTTTAGAAAGTAAATCCTGGCAGTGGGAATACAAAGGCAGCTTGGAAGTGCTGTAGCCCCAGCAAAAGCTCCATCGGCATCCTGATGCGGACAGCTCCCTCTGTCTTGTGGACAGCACGGTGCCAACACAGCTGTGTGCCCGCCTTCAAACCAGACTGCAACCCAAAGACCCTTTCTAAAGAAATTTAGGGGCCACCACAGATTTCTGGGACAAAGTGATGGGCAAAGCCCACAGCTGTAAAGGAACCACCAGTAGCATTCAAGAAAACAGTACACAGTCCCCTTCACGCTCAGCTCTGCAGCACTGTTTGTTGATGTTGGTGACCTGTGTTGGTGTCCCGCAGGAAGAGCTGCTGGGGCATAAGGAAGAAGGGACCAGTTCTCCAGTTCCAGACTTAGTAGGTTTTTCACACTCCATGCTTTGGCGCCCTGTCCCCCCACACCCCAGCCGCCAATTTAGGGCTCCCAGGCTCTCCCTGAACATGTGATGCAATTGTAGCCCCTGGATGACTTGGCAATTAATCTTCACCAGCTTACTGCAAGGGGCTGCTCCAAGCTCACTCACGCTCACAGGAAAATGCGTGCAGATGGAATTTCTGGGCTGGGGGAATCCAAGCTCGTCAAAGACTGACAAAGCATAATTACAAGAGGGAAAAGCAAGTTTGCCCAGAGGGAGCTGAAACCCCTCACTCCTGGGAGCCTTTGACCTGCTGGTTTGGAGGCAGAGAAATGCCTCTACTGCAGCCAGTGTCTCCTGCTCAGAAGAAAGGGTGCGCCTCCTGCCTCCCACCTGGGCTACAGCAGGAGCAAAAAGCCTCCTTCAAGTCCCCAAAACCCCTAGTGTACCTCAT